AAAAAATGTATGAAAAAATCGGCGGGGAAATTAAGAATGCAAGACACAGATATCCAGGAAATTTAGTATGAGAATATATCCTATGTTTTTTTTGTTTTGTTTTGTTTTTTTTTTTTTTGAGACGGAGTCCGGTCGCTCTGTCGCCAGGCTGGATGCCAAGTGGCCGGATCTCAGCTCACTGCAAGCTGTCCCTCCCGAGTGGTTTACGCCATCATTCCTGCCTCGCCCTCCCGAGTAGCGTGGAGACTACAGGTCCCGCCACCTGCCCGGCTAGTTTTGTTTGTATTTTAGTAGAGACGGGGTTCACCGTGTTCGGCCAGATGGTCTCGATCTCCTGACCTCGACTGATCCGCCCGTCTCGGCCTTCCCAAAGGTTTGGGATTACAGGCTTGAGCCACCGCGCCCGGTCTATCCTTATGTTTAAAAGATAAATCAATAAACGTGTGATGCCAGGTTAGGTCTTCATGTGGCCCAAGGCAGCCTTGGATTTGAGCAAAAGGACTTCTGGGTCTGGGCATCCGAGGATGTCTTGTGCTTTAATCCAATGCTGTGTTAAGTGGTTGTTATGCCTCCCTGGACCCTCGAGTCTATGTAAAATAGGGGAGACAGAGTCTTGGGCTTTAAGTCCAATGCTGTGATAAGTGGTTGTATGCTCCCTGGACCTCAGTTTCTCTATTTGTAAAATAGGGGGATGAGCTAGACAACACCTGAAGGCCTAAAAGACCTAATCCCAGTTTCACAGTGGCATCTCCTTTTAAGTCTCCTCCCTGTTTGGGGGTCAGAGCCCACCTGCCAATGACAGCAGTGGTACACAGATCTCGCTGACTTTGAATCATAATTCTCCACTCTCTACCTGTGACCTTGAGGCAACCCCTTAACTGTCCAGAGCCTCAGTTAACTCACCTCGTAGAGTTACTGTGAAAGTTACAAGAGTCAATGATGATAAATCAGCTGTCCTTTACCAAGTGCTTCATCTATGCTAAGCATTTGACCTGACTCTTCACAAGCACCCTGGCAGGGGATATTACAATTAACAACCACAGAGCGAGGAAACAGATTCTGAGGCCAGGTATACAGCTTAGTGAAGAGCTGGAGGTGAACATGCAATAAAGCCAGGCTGCAGCCCTGTTATTAGCATGGAGGGCACCTAAGAAATGAACAAGCAGAACGTTCATGATGAGCTCTACCACAATCTGGGTGCCCTAGAGCTCCTCACTGAACTGAGAGCCCTGGACAGTGTCACTGGGTGCTCAGAAGCAAGCCCTGGGCTCCCTCTGCTGGGGTCAGATGGGAATAGGGTCAGTTTCATCCAGAGCACCCCTGGGGGGGTCCAACAACACTCTCAGGCACAGCAACCAAAGCTGCTGTGGCCTGAAGGGGATGTGGACTCTAAGAGCAGAGTCTAAAACCCAAGAGACACCATCATCATGGGGAACTGGAAGGGGTGGAAAGAGCCCTGCTCCACCAGGCACCAGAGTTATACCTCCCTAAGCCTCAGTGGTCTTTCTACAGCTGACAGTGGGACTAGGTCAGGGCAGTGCTCTTGTGAATGGAAGATATTTCACCCTCAGGACCCCTTGACCCTTCTTCCCACCCATGTTTGCAGAAGAAGGATGTCATGATTGGGCTGGGTACAGTGACTCATGCCTGGAATTCCAGCACAGAGAGGCAGAGACAGGAGGATTGCTTGAGGCCAGGAGTTCAAGACCACCCTGGGCAACATAGCAAGATCCCATTTCTATAAAATAAAAATAGAAAGTCAGCCAGGCATGGTGGCATGCACCTGTAGTCCTAGTTACTCAGGAGGCTGAGGTAGGAGGATCACTACAGCCCAGACGTTTGAGGCCACAGTGAGCTATGATCATGCCATGGTCCTCCAGTCTGGGCAACATAGTGAGACTGTGTATCAACAAAAATATAAATAAAAAAAAAGAACACTGTAGTCAGGGCCTTCCTGGGGAGGCGATGATGGCTGTCATTACTGTGCCTCTGCTCGCTCTTTTCAAAACTCTCACAGGGACCCGCCACAGTCCTCCCACCACCCAGATAAAGACATGGGCTTGGGCTGCGCTGGGGAGCAAAAATCCCAGCACCTTGGGATAGAAAGAGAAAAGGGAAAGAGTGGCCTAAATTTGTCAACCTGCTAATCTCTGCCAAATCTCATTTTCTATTCACACACTTTCCACTGGTAGCAAAAAGCTGGTGCTCTGCCCCACCTACTCAATTTGCAAATATGCTGTTGTCACTTCTATCATCTTCTGTGTAGCAAGAGGACTTCACAAATTAAAGAATGCTTTCTAAGATACCAGCAATGTGCCAGGACTTCTGGTCCATCTGGATACAAGACAAGTCAACACAGCTGTGGACCTCTCCAGAGCCAGAGGGAGGAACCGAGAGCAGCCCCGCAATGAGGCTCTCACCACCTCCCCATCCCGTATGTCACTGCCCAGAGCGCCTGCCCAGTACCCTGCACTGATGGGGGTGATCAGCTCTGTGGCGGTTGTCACTTTGGCTTTTACTGTCATGATGTTGAGGTTCATGAGGTAGTAGAAAGTCAGGTGAAGCACGCTGTCATCTGGAGGGGAGGAAGACGAGAGAATTTATGAGTCAAACACTCAGAGCAGAATCAACAGAGTCATAGGGAGTAGCAAGGGAGCGGGGTCACGCGTTGAAAACCTAACCACTAGGTATTATGCCTACTACCTGGGTGACGGATCATTCATACCCCAAACCTCAGGACCACGCAAAATAGTGCAACAAACCAGCACATGTACCCCCAGAATCGAAAACAAAAGTTGAAATTATAATAAAAAAAGAAAAAGAAAATCAGAATCATAGAAAAATTCAAACAGACTTTTACAATCATTTACTATACAAACAAAATTGGCCGGGCGCGGTGGCTCACGCCTGTAATTCCAACACTTTGGGAGGCCGAGGTGGGCGAATCAGGAGGTCAGGAAATCGAGACCATCCTAGCTAACGAAGTGAAACCCCATCTTTACTAAAAATACAAAAAAATTAGCCGGGCGTGGTGATGGGCGCCTGTAGTCCTAGCTACTCAGGAGGCTGAGGCAGGAGAATGGCGTGGACCCAGGAGGCGGAGCTTGCAGTGAGCTGAGATGACGCCACTGCACTCCAGCCTGGGCAACAGAGCAAGACTCCATGTCAAGAAGGAAAAAAAAAAATCACGACAGTAATATAGTGAATAAAAAGAGGCAAAGAGAGCACCTACAAATTCTTTGCTACACGTCCCACCAACAGGTAGGGCTTAATTTCTCTGCCCTTGAGCATGGGCTGGACTTAGTGACACAGCTTCTAACAAATACAAGATAGAATGGGAACCACGCGAGCAAGGTCAATATCAGCAGAAATAAGACAGTGATATCAGGTAGCCCTGATATGACATGATAGCAAGGATCTCATCTATGCTATTCTCCCCCAAAATCCATAATCTCAAGTCTAATCAAGGTCATGAAAGACTGAGAAACTGTCACTGCCTGGAGGAGACTTAGAAGCATGGCAACTAAATGCACTTTGAGACCCTGGCTTGGATCCTGGAACATAAAAAGGACATTAATTGAAAAAGGAAGAAACTAAAAAAATTCTGTCATTTAGTTAACAGTATTGGACCAAGGAAATTAAGAGTGGTGTGGATCACTGGTAATCATACCATCTATAATTAAGATGTAACTTTAAGGGAAGCTGAATGAAGAGTATATAGGAACTCATATTATTTTGGCAAGTCTTCTATGAGTCTAAAATTATCTCAAAGTCAGCCACGGTGGTGCATGCTTCAGTCCCAGCTACTTAGGAGGCTGAGGCAGGAGGACTGTTTGAGCCCAGGAGTTCAAGACCAGCCTGGGTAACATGATAAAACCCCATCTCTAAAAAAAATACAAAAATTAACTGGCATGATGGCACGTGCCTGTAGCTCCCGCTACCTGGGAGGCTGAGGTGGGAAGAACGATTGAGCCCAGGAGGTTGAGCTGTAGTGAGCCGTGATCATGCCACTGCACTCCAGACTGGATGACAAGAGTGAGACCCTATCTCTAAAAACAACCAACCAACCAGCAAAAAGACAACCAGTGTGTAGAGCCTATTTCCATTTGTGTAAAAAATAAAGTGGGAAGTGGATAAATATTCGTTTGTATAAAAGCTTCTAGGTGCAAAGAATCTTTCTGGAAAATATATAAGAAGTCTGTAATAATGGTTGCCCTTGGAGGTGAGACCTAGGACTGGTATCTAGGACCCTGGGGTGGGAGGGAAACTTAAATTTTATTGTTAGCTCTTATACTGCTAGAACATTTTATTATGTGGTAGTCTTTCATACAAACCAACTTCAAAACATATACTCTGCAGAATACAAAGTTCTACTTATATTTACCAAATTAAACATGTTGGTCTTATTACTCAAAACCTGTATGCTTTTGCAACTTGTTCTAGATATTTGACTTGCCAGATTCAGAAAGAGGTGTGGTTTTCTCAAGCTTCTGCCTTATGTGACTGGAGTTTTGTTGCTATGTTGTTACGGTTATGACTTAACAACAAAAAGAAACAAATTCCATGCAAAACAATAAGGAAAGACAAAGCAACATGAAATGGGAATCCTTTGTTGGGCAAATAGGCGTCTGGCTCCTGGACCCTCTGCATCTGCAGCTAGGTGAACTCTTAGGTGCTACAGTTCCCCTAAACAAGGTGAGTGTAGCCAGACCTTTGCACTTCAGGTCGAGCATGACGGACAGTGGGTGCCTCTTCAGCATCTCTTTGCGTTTGTCGTCCAACTGAACCCCCAGCGTGGGTCTCCGGCGTTTCTGGACAAAGGAAAGTGCCAAGCTGATGAGCACCGGTCATACCAATCTCCCCTTCCCTCTCCCAACCAGCCAGGCCTCAACCCTACTGCCTGGCACCTGCTGCTTCAGCTAGCTGGGTTGCCAGACTCCCCTCCCAGCAGCCTTTTCTTTCAAACCTCTTTCTTCTGCTTCTAGGGAGGATGGCACCTGCAAACAAGCATGCCCCAGTGCATGCAGCTGCTTGATGCCCCCATAAAAGAAAATGGTTCTCACCGTGGTCTGCTCCTCCTCAGCATCCGAGTCACTCTCGTCATCTGCAGCCACAGAGAGAAGGCAGCTAGAGGTGAGGGGGCTCCAAATGCTCCCTAAAGCACTCCAACCCACATGGCATAAAGGGGCCCTGACTCTGTCTTTTGTAAATGAGTTTCTCTATAACAAATAATAATTAACTTGCTGCTTCTTATTCAGTATAGAAAACATGGTGAAGAAAAAAGAAAAAAGGCCTTACTTGCTTTACCTTATTCAATCCACATAACAATCCTACATGAGGTGTTACTATCTGTTTTCACAAATGAATAAGCTGAGGCTCTGAAATGTTAAATACCTTCCTCGGGGTCAGTCAGCTAGTGAGTGGCAGGGCTGAAATCCACGGGCAGCACCTTGTGACTCCGGGAAGTGAGCTCTCTTTCCTGTCTACCCCAGGATGCTAGGACATTCAAGTCAAGCTTCCTGCTACACAGAACCAGTCCAGCTGGTTCTCCAAAGACCAGGACTGCCCTTGGATGGTGACTTGGTGTCGCTGGGGGAGGAATCCCAACCACCACATTACCTTGGGAGTCCTCTGGAGGCTTGAAAAGAGCCTTGGCTTCATCCACACTGCCTTCGATTGCCACAGATAACGTCTTATCTGGGGGGCAAGAAAGAGTCTGGTAGGAAAGCTGCTGAGGAAAGGTGCTAAGCAGCACGAGCAGGCCAGCTCTGGGGCTGCATTTCTCTCACTTCTGCCCAGCTCCTTGCTGACTAAGGGTGGAACGGCAAAAATCCTTGGTCCAGATGAAGGGAAACAAGGTGGGACACTTAAGTCTTTTTTTTCTGTCATTTACTGAGAACAAACAACTTAAGTACAAATTCCTAAACCAACATCACCTGAAACTAGCAGGGAATGCCTCTCTTTTCTGGTGCACACCAAAGCACAGAAATTCAAACTGAGGGCCTAAAGCCACATGGAACTCCTCTGCCAATTGTCTTAGAGGTTCTTATCCAGAAATCCACACCTGTCCACATCCCAGAAACAATGACTCTCACCTAAGTGCTTTTTCTTTATTCTACACTATACCAAGCACATGGCTGCCACTGTCTCACTTAACTGGGAGGCAGTAGGACAGTGAATAGGAACTTGGATCTTGCAGTCTAGTCCCAGACCTGAGTCCCCACCTAACCAATTCCCAAACACATGACCTGGAAAGTTATGTCACTGTCTGAGCCTCAGTTTCTATATCTATGAAATGGGGACTTGAAAAATAGTAGCTGCCGGGCACGGCGGCTCACGCCTGTAATCCCGGCACTTTGGGAGGCCGAGGCAGGTGGATCACCTGAGGTCAGGAGTTTGAGACCAGCCTGGCCAAGATGGCAAAATCCTGTCTATACTAAAAATACAAAAATTAGCTGTGTGTGGCGGCATGTGCCTATAATCCCAGCTACTTGGGAGGCTGAGACAGGAGAACTGCTTGAATCCAGGAAGTGGAGGTTACTGTGAACTGAGATCATGCCACTGCACTGCAGCCTGGGCAACAGAGTGAGACTCTGTCTCAAAAAAAAAAAAAAAAGAAAAATAGTAGCTGCCCCATTAGTGGTGGGGACTGAATGAGCTGATGCTTGTAATTTTAATTATAAAATTATTAAAAATTAATTTTTAGGCTGGGCGTGGTGGCTGATGCCTGGTTGGGAGGCCAAGGAGAGTGGATCACCCAAAGTCAGGAGTTCGAGACCAGCCTGGCCAACATGGTGAAATCCGTCTCTACTAACTATATAAAAATTAGCTGGGCACAATGGTAGGCGCCTGTAACCCCAGCTACTTGGGAGGCTGAGGCAGGGAGAATTGCTTGAACCCGGGAGGCAGAGGTTGCAGTGAGCCGAGATCATGCCACTGCACTCCAGCCTGGGTAACACAGTGAGACTCCGTCTCAGAGAAAAAAAAAAAAAAAAATTTAATCCTCACAACAACCCTACAGGAGTAATACATTATTATAGCCATTTTTAGATGGGAAACTTAAGGCTCAGAGAAGCTAGACATCACAGCCACATGGCTGATAAACCAGGGTTCAAGACCAGGTCTGTTCAACTTAAGCTTGGCCTCTCCAGCACATAAGCTAACAGCCTGTTGCATACACCAGGTGTGACTGTGACACCTTATTGAGTGATGTCTTGGGACCCCCCTCTGAGGGTCCAGTGCTGTGAGGTCAGACAGGCCACCACCTTCCAACTCCACTTTTAAGGGTACAGATAGTCCCAAGAACCTGAAATGGTTTGCCTAGCCACACAAAAGAGGGACGGCAAACTTCCCCCAAGTGGCTGACCACTGCCTTATCTATGGCAACCCTATGTGAATCACCACCCTTCACCCCAAACAACTACTTGCTCCCATCAGTCACTGGCAAACGCCAGACTATTTTTTTCAGTCATTTAATATTAGCATTCTACAGGAACATCAGAATGGAACAGGCCAATTTTAAACATAAAAGAAAAGAAAATTACTCACCCTGTCTAGGGGGCTGGGAGGATTTCATATGAGCTGATGATGGAAACAGGAGGGAGAACAAAGGGGAGGGGAGGACCAGAAGGACGAGGAAGACACAAGAAGAGAGACAGTAATGTGTTGGTGCCCACGGTGGGAGGAGAAGCAAGCACTGGTGCAGTATATGTCTGTCTGATGTGGTGGGGTGGGGATGGGGAGAAAATTTAGGTGCTGGGTGAAAGCTGCATTAGGGCAAAAGGCAGGGTCTCTAAAATTTTCTCAAAACCCTAGCAGAGTCACAGGCTGCCCTCAAGCTTAATGAGGACATATCTAACCTGGAAATCCACAACAAAGGCATGCAGCCTGATTCAAGGCATGGTGAAAGCCTGGGAGAGCTGGCTGAGACCTGTATTCACCAGGCACCCCCACCCTGAAGCAGAGCAAGAGGCACTGATCTAACTGCCAAGCGTGCCTTGATGGGGTGAGCACCTGGGAGCCCAGATAGGCTGCCTGGGCTCTGCACCCAACAGCTGTCCAGTCAGGCTCATGAATGACTCAAAGCCACCCATTGTGAAATACCCATCAGGTATTAATTCAGTCTTAGGCTGGTTGGTCAGAGCAGCCATGCTGGGCAATGCACAGGGTAGAAAGTTTCTGTCACCTGAGGGCTTCGGGGCAGGACTGAGAAATTTCCTGAGCAGGTACTGCTTCCAACTGATTCACTCGGCCACAGCTGCTGCTCCCACAGCCCCTCGTCCTCACCCAGCCCCCATACTCACCACAGGCCTGCCCATATGCAGTGGCCTGAACAAAGAGGACATAGAGGGGAGGCGGCAGGTGCCTGGCTGTCTCATACTGCTTGTGAGCCTGGTCGAATGGCATAAACAGGTACTCCTGCACCGGAAGGGAAGCCTGCACACAAGAGACAGATTTTTGTTCTTCCTTTTTTAGCCAGTCCACACAGGAACAAGTGGCTACTGAGTGACTATAAACATTGTTTATAAAAGTGATACATGATAAACTAATAGAACTAATAGGTGGATAAAAGCTCAATATAAACAAAATTATATTTCTTTATACTAGCAACAAACAGTAAGAAAATAAAATTGTTTTATTTTACTTACTGTCAGGGTACCCTAGCTCATGCCCGTAGTCCCAGCACTTTGGGAGGCTGAGGCAGGAGGATCACTTGAGGCCAGGAGTTCAAGAGCAGCCTGGGTAACTTAATGAGATGCCATTTCCATAAAAATAAAAATCAATTAAAAAAAAAAGAAATTATAAAAAGATGCCATTTCAATACCATCAATAAAACATCAAATAAGAATAAACAGGCCGGGCATAGTGGCTCATGCCTATAATCCCAGCACTTTGGAAGGCTGAGGCAGGAGGATCACCTGAGGTCGGAGATCGAGATCAGCGTGACCGACATGGAGAACCCTGTCTCTACTAAAAAAAAACCAAAATTAGCTGGGCGTAGTAGCATATGCCTGTATTCCCAGCTACTCGGGAGGCTGAGGCAGGAGAATCACTTGAACCCAGGAAGTGGAGGTTGCGGTGAGCCGAGATCGTGCCATTGCACTCCAGCCTGGGCAACAAGAACAAAACTCTGTCTCAAAAAACAAACAAACAAAAAACAATAAACAAGCAGGCTGGGCACAGTGGCTTATGCCTATAATCCCAGCACTTTGGGATGCCAAGGCAGGTGGATCACCTGAGGTCAGTAGTTTGAGACCAGCCTGGCCAACATGGTAAAACCCGATCTCTGCTAAAAATACAAAAATTAGCTGGGTGTGGTGGCACGTGCCTGTAGTCCCAGCTACTCGGGAGGCTGAGGCAGGAGAATCGCTTGAACCCAGGAGTTTGAGACCAGCCTGGCCAACATGGTAAAACCCGATCTCTGCTAAAAATACAAAAATTGGCCAAGTGTGGTGGCACGCACCTGTAATCCCAGCTACTCGGGAGACTGAGGCAGAAGAATTGCTTGAACCTGGGAGACAGAGGTTGCAGTGAGCCAAGATTGTACCACTGTACTCCAGCCTGGGCAACAGAGCAAGATTCTGCCTCAAAATAAAATAAAATAAAATAAAATAAATAAAATAAAATACAATAAAATATAAAATAAAATAAACAAATGAAAGGCATATAAGCCTCTACACAAAAACCTGAGAAATGAAAAGTCTAAAATAAGTGGATACATATGAATGTCAATGGTCTGGAAGACTCAAATATTGTCCAGGTAACAATTTATTCTATTCTAAAGTGGTCTGCTGATTCAATGCAATCCCAATCAAAATCCCAGCAGGTAAGAACAGACAATCTCATTCTGAAACTTATATGTAAATGCAAAGGGCCAAGAATAACCAAGACAATCCTGAAGAATTAGGTTGCAACTGCGCATCGAGATTTCTGATAAAGCCACAGTAAATAAGATGGTGTGATACTGTGCACGGATGGACACAGAGATTACACACATATCCACATGTACAAAGACATTTGATTTGTGACAAAAGTGGCACTACAGAGAAGTGCGAAGAGAATGTCTTCAATAAATGGTCAGCTAAATACCTATGTGGAAAGAAAAAAATGAATCTTTACCCTTAACTTACACTACATACAAAATCACTTCCAGGATGACTACAGATTTAAATAGACAGATTTCTTAAACAAGACACAAAAAAAGTACTAACCATAAAGGAAAAGAATAATTAGTAAAATTAGGAACATGCACTCATTAAAAGATACCATTAGCAAAGTGAAAAGGCAGGAGGTTACAGAACGGGAAAGATCTGGGAAAACACTCATCTCCAGGCAACCCAAAAGAAAAACAGGCAAGAGACTTGCCTAGGCCCATCCCAAGAGGTTATCCAAAAGGCAAAACGTGCTGTGTTCAACATCACTAGTCCTCAGGGAAATAAAAATTAAAACTATAATGAGATCCTCCAGAGTAGCCAAAATTAAGGAGACTGAGAGTATCAAGTGTTGACAAGGATGTAGAACAATTAGAACTTTCATATGGTGCTGGTGGGAATTCCTGTAAATCGGTACAATCACTTTAAAAAACTGTTTCAATGTCTACAAAAGCTAAATATATGTATAACATACTGTATGACCTAGCAATTTCATTCCTGGATATATATTCAACAGACAGATGTACACATGTATGCCAAAGCACACGTATAAGAATGCTCATAGCAGCATTATTCAAATGGCCCTAAGCTGGAAACAACCAAATACTAAACATTAGTGAAAACAAACTCCTGCACTCATAATAGCTCAGATGAATCTTAGAAACATACTGCTGAACAAAAGAAGCCAGATATAGGAGTATATACTATGATTCTCTTTGTATAGAGTTCAAAAACAGGCAAAACGAACCTAGATGTTAGATGTCAAGATTATGGTTACTGGGGTGTGGGGGAAGATAGGGACTGGGAGGGGGAATAAAGGAGCTTCCAGGAAATTGTTAATGTTCTTTCTCTTGGATTTTGGGTGCTGGTTACACAGATGTGTTTCTTAGTGAATATTCATTGAGCCATATACTTGTGAGTTACATGCTTTTCTGTATATACAATTCTGTTTTAAAGTAATACATTGTACACTGTTTTTAAAAGTTGTATTCAAGACCTTAGGCAATGAATCAGGTTTTGTTTCAGAGATTTCATTTGTGTGCTTCTCTTCTGTTTTTTTCTTTTTTTTCTTGACTCAGGAAAGACTGAAATAGATCGCTTTGAGTTTCAAGTTTGCAGACTCTGCGCAGTGCATGAGGATCAATTGCACAATACATAAAGTAAAATGAAAAGCATTTTAGGCCGGGCATGGTGGCTCATGCCTGTAATCCCAGCACTTTGAGAGGCTGAGGCAGGCGGATCACGAGGTCAGGAGATCGAGACCATCCTGGCTAACACAGTGAAACCCCATATCTACTAAAAATACAAAACAAAAAATTAGTTGGGCATGGTGGCAGGCACTTGTAGTCCCAGCTACTTGGGAGGCTGAGGCAGGACAATGGCATGAACCCGGGAGGCAGAGCTTGCAGTGAGCTGAGATTGTACCACTGTACTCCAGCCTGGGCAACAGAGTGAGACTCTGTCTCAAAAAAAAAAAAAAAAAAAGCATTTATTTTAGGCCGGGCGTGGGGGCTCATGCCTGTAATCCCAGTACTTTGGGAGGCCGAGGCAGGCGGATCACCTGAGGTCAGGAGTTCAAGACTACTGGCCAACATGGTGAAACCCTATCTCTACTAAAAATACAAAAATTAGCCAGGTGTGGTGGCAGGCGCCTGTAAACCCAGCTACTCGGGAGGCTGAGGCAGGAGAATCGCTTGAACCTGGGAGGCAGAGGTTGCAGTGAGCCAAGATGGCGCCACTCCACTCCAGCCTGGGCAACAAAGCAACTCTGTCTCAAAAAAAAAGGCATCTTAAAGTCATGGGGGGCAGCGGCAAAGGTGGGTAAGGAAAAGGGGAAAAAAAGTGGTATTCAAGTTTGTAAAACAAAAGCTCCCAGTTCCCAGTCCTCAAGGTAGCTGCTAATGGTTTGGTATGAATATAGACTTTTCCAAGTATATACCCAACTCCTATATGTATATATCCCTACAGATACTTTGTAAACTAAGATATAGAAATGAGCTTATACTATATGTTCTACAACTTGCATTTTTTTGTTTAATAATATGACAGATCTTCTTCCATATTTCAGTTATTCTGTCAGTGGTTCGATATCAGTAGTTTGATTCCATACTTTCATCATAGCTCTAAGGCTGTACCATACAAGAATTTATTTAACGTGTACCCATTTAGAAAGTTTCTAGGTAACAAGAGAAAATTTAACCATGCAGAAGCTTTGGTCAAGTACAACCAAAACTTTTAATTTCTGCTCTGTCACCCAGGCTGGAGCGATCCTCCTGCCTCAGCCTTCCAAGTAGCTGGGACAACAGGCACGTGCCACCATGACCAGTTAATTTTTTTTTGTAGAGGTGGGGTCTCCCGATATTGCCCAGTCTGGTCTCAAACTCCTGGGCTCAAGTGATCCTCCCTCCTCAGCCACCCGAAGTGCTAGGATTACAGGCATGAGGCACCGCAAGCAGTCAACAACTCTCCTTCCACACTTAGAGCTGAAGAAAGGAAATATAGAGATTGCCAAATCCTAAGAAAATAAGCAAATTTATCTCTAGGATCCTTTTACAAAGTTCTTTCATATAAGCCATCTACCTTGCTTCACAAAATTATAAGGATTTACACCAAATCTGGCTTCGCAAAGCAAATAAAAAGTGGGCCACCTATACAGAAAGACATTATATTTTACAGGCAAAGTGTGGACTCTTCCTCATGAGTAAAGTTTTTTTCAGAGTGAGAAGATCTGTTGAGCAGTCTGACCCTGAAGCGTAGTCAGGGGGATCAAACAGACATCCACAAGAAGCAAGTTTAGATGCCTGGAGATTGTGAGGCCAGTGGGGGCCATGCAGGGGGTAAACCAAATTTACACAGTCTGAGAAAGTATGCTACCCAGAGGAGGCTCTGGATGAAAATACCCAGGTCAATGCATGTATATATTCCTGAGGCCAGCACTTCTTCCTCCCAGACGCAAGCTTATCACACCAACTGGGTAGGGACACAGACAAGGCCATCCTTATACTATACTCTAATTTAGGGTAATAGACCTGGCAAAGCTCAAAGGGTGACATGGTGTCTGGCAGCGCCTGGTCAGTGGTGAAGGCAAAGCAAAAGGCCAGCGGGCCCCACCTGCATGATGCTGTTGAGGCGGGGCTGGAGGCTGCTCAGGTACTCCTTCTTCACCTCAATCTCCTTGAGAATCTTCTCCTTGTTGGATAGGCACTCTCGGTACTTCTCTGCCAGCCTGTGGGGGAAGGAACGAGCATTGTCACCTGATATCCCCCTGTGATACCTCAACACGCCTGTTCACCGTCAGACTCCACCTAATGGTAGCAGCCATGATTAACTGCTAATGTTTATCCAGCACTCAATGTGTGCCAGGTACTTTGGTGAGTTCTTTACAAGCATAATTACATTTAATCCTTATAAAGACCCTGGAAAATGGGGACTTTTCTTATCCCCAAAGGAGAAAACCAAGGCTCAGACAAGTAGATCACTTGCCCAAGGGCATCCAGCCAAGAACAAACACTGTGCTGGGCTTTGGATTCATGTCTCTTGCTCTCCAGAGGCTCTGTCTGCTCTGTAACCACTAGGGGATACACATGCCATCTTCTGTTCCATTTCTTGCTTGAGAGGTAAGACCTAAAACTTTCATAAACATGGACTTAGCAGCTATATAACCCAAAAGAGGCCCATGGACTGGCCTGGTTGGGACAGGGTGGGAATAGATTCTGGACCAGTGCCACAAGAATGCAGCACTGACAGCTGAGTCTGTGCCCAGCACAATCAGTGGACTGGACAACAGAGTGATAGGCCAGCCCCATTTGCTAAGACACTGACACAAATTTCCTAAGAACCAGACCCGGTTGGGCACGGTGGCTCACGCCTGTAATCCCGGCACTTTGGGAGGCCCAGGCAGGCGGATCACCTGAAGTCAAGAGTTCAAGACCAGCCTGGCCAACATGGTGAAACCCCGTCTCTACTAAAAAAATTAGCCAGGCACAGTGGCATGCGCCTGTAATCCCAGCTACTCAGGAGGCTGAGGCAGGAGAACTGCCTGAAGCCAGGAGGCGGATGTTTCAGTGAGACGAGATAGCACCACTGCATTCCAGCCTGGGAAACAGAGCAAGACTCCACCTCAAAAAAAAGAAAAAAAGAACTAGATTCAGTGCTTACTAAATTCATAATATGAACCAAAAACAGAGAATACATTCCATAACAGAAAAAGGCAAGTATACAGCTACTTCACCAACAAAAAACCAGAACAAATGTGCCAATCAAAAGCCCTAGTATTCTTGTACAAATATGAAAGAGGAAAAAGTTACCATGAATGGAAAGGATGCAACCGTGAAAAGTTCATTACAGAAAAAAAACAAAACCACTGTATTTTTAGAATGACTTAGATTAAAACACATAGTACTGGCCGGACACAGTGGCTCATGCCTAAAATCCCAGCACTTTGGGAGCCCAAGGCAGGTGGATCACCTGAGGTCAGGAGTTTGAGACCAGCCTGGCCAACATGGTGAAACCCCCGTCTTTATTAAAAATACAAAAATTGGCTGGGCGTGGTGGCTCATACCTGTAAATTCCAACACTTTGGGAGGCTGGCGGGCGAAACATGAGGTCAAGAGATAGAGACCATCTTGGCCAACATGGTGAAACCCCGCTTCTACTAAAAATACAAAAATTAGCTGGGCATGGTGGAACATGCCTGTACTCCCAGCTACTTGGGAGGCTGAGAGGCAGGAGAATTGGTTGAACCAGGGAGGCGGAGGTTGCAGTGAGCTGAGATCACGCCATTGCATTCCAGCCTGGGCGACGAGAGTGAAACTCCATGTCAAAAAAATAAGTAAATAAAACTCTTTATTAGTATAGAAAAGTTTATAGCTAAAGTGTGACTTGAAGTATTATTTATGACAGCAAAAAAAATGGAAACAACCTAAAATCCAACAGGGGAATAATTTTGTGAATTTTTCTATACACTAGGATATACACTAGAATGTTGCACAACCTCCTGAAAAAATGTTTACAAAGCTTTATGCCACAGGCATACATTTATAGATAAGGGGGGGAAAGGCAAAATACAAAATTAGATTTATGGTACAAAAGATAAGGTCTTCGGCATTAAAATCTGAAAGAGAGACCAGGCATGGTAACTCACACCTATAATCCCAGCACTTGGGGAGGCCAAGGTGGGAGAATCACTTGAAGCCAGGAGTTCAAGACCAGCTTGGGTAACAGAGTGAGACCCCTGCTCTACAAAAATAAAAATATTAGCCAGGCATGGTGGCAGGCACCCATAGTCCTGGCTACTTGGGAGGCTGAGGCAGAAGGATCACTTGAGCCCAGGATGTCAAGGCTGAAGTGAGTCGTCATCATGCCCCAGCACTCCATCCTGAGCAATAGAGTGAAATGCCATCTCTTTAAAAAAAAAAAAA